TATATATATATATATATATATATATATATATATATAGTGTGTGTGATTGGAATGCATTTACCTTCAATGTATAATGTCGAAGAAGGTTCTGGTCTTTCGTGCCTTGGTTGTAGTGCAGTCGATGTGCGGTGGCATTTGTACTCAATACAAATAAATGACATACTCAGGTGCAGTACATTGTGTGAACAAAATTTAGATAATGCATGGACATCACATTTTCACTTCCACATGCATGTAGAGAAAAATGTGAGTGACTAATTAGCGTTAACTTGAGTGCAGATGTAATCCTTGGTCAGCTACTCCCACAGTACCCACTTTTTGTTCAACACACATATTCACCAACTCGTATGAGTGCATTAAAGATAATCACACATTTACTGGTAATTTAAATGAAATTAACAACTTTCTATTAGTTTGTACTACAAACGCTTTTTACCCCTGTGAACAAGAGTATTGTATTTAAGTCTGAACACGACCACGTCGTTTAAAATAATTCAGTCAAATATATGGTAACGACATACTTACCAAGTCTTCGTAATAACAGTACCAATATATCGACAACTGTACCAAGTTATGTTACCAAGTTACTCAAACCAGTTTGGGGTCACGTACTCATTCACCTTAGGATGGAGGGATCATTATTTGGAAGGGGTGGTCGGTTGTAATAAGCACATCTTCGTTAGATTACAGTAGGTAATATATAATTTTATTATAGCTCAGATTCGCGCGTTTGGGGGTTGATATATTTGCATATTGACGTCTTAGCAGTCAAAGACGTCATATTAGGTTTCTGAGAATGGTACATCGTTTGGGACGAGTTATGGTCTATATGAATTGTCAGTCCGACTGTGATAGTACAATTATTAGTTGTATGAGCACGGGGCAATACGTAAGGTGGTTACAATTTACACATTAATGCGTTTCGCATCTGAGGTTTGCATCTAGTTTGACGTACATACTTCTGTGAAGCTAGCGAACACTGCATCAGACGAATGATATCACTTTATCAAGGTTAAATTCAATAGTATTCCAAGCAAGTTGACCACAACAATAAATTTATCACGAAAACAAGAAACAATCATAACAATGTAAATAAAATACATCACAGAAATGTTTTAATGTCGCTTTCAGGCTTAAATTGTTTGTTTTGCATATGTCGAACAACTATTAAATGAATGTAGACAAAATAAGGAATCCTAAAAAACAAACAGAGTTAATTAAATTTTATATTGAAATAAAAAAAACACATTGAATTATCGTTTAATGGCGAAATAAATCTGTATATTTCATCTGGTAGACGCACTAGCATTACATATCAGCAAACATTTTTAAAAATCCCTAATTATGTATTAGTAGTCTGATTATTAAATATCGCCCTTTTCCACGGGATCAAGCATATAATATAAACATTTTTATTCACTTATTCCAAGCTGTATTTTTTGGGGGAGTGTGTCTTACTTTGGCGAGGCGTATTTTATCTGTTGTTGTATGTTCGTAAGTGCATCATGTGCCTGTAATTTCGAATATTCCACATGTATTTTTCCAATTGTGTTCCCCTGAATTGGTGGAGCAGTTACATCTATGAACGATATGTTGTTAGCCTAGCCTTACGCTCTTTAATTAATGTGGTTATCAGCATTATTTTAATAGTTGACTATATACAATATTACCTGACTCCAAATCAATCCATGTATTCGTGTCGAGAGTTATTTATGTTTTTGGAATTGTTTGTACAATCATTATCAATCTGGTAGAATAAAGAACTAGATTGATTCGCAGAAATCGAACCTAAAATTAAGACATTTATGCTCAATTTCATACAGCGTTCGCTTACGTGGTAAGGGCTGCACAGCTGCCACCAGCTGCACACACGCTCTGGATCTCTGGAATAGTACTGCTACTTGATCTGATACTAAGACATGCAAATTACTAAAACTAAGAATGATCTTAGTTTTATTAATGCTCCAAAGTTGCCAAATAATTCATTCATAGATTTTATGAGATCGCCATATTGTTTTCAATTGAAGACAATTTTGTTAATTTCAACTCTAGGTAAGGGGATCTAAATGACAATAACAAGCATCTGCCAATCACATTGAAGATAATATTTGGTTAAAAAACAAGTCATTGTCAATGACACGTCCCCGTTCCGTTCATATTTGAGTGACATATACATTCAAAGCAGATCATGACCGAAATACACCTGTATATGTAC